GGCGCCGCTGACTGCGAGAGCCTGCGCGAGTTCCGGGAGCGGGCCCTGCGCGCGCGCTGCGCCGAGGCGGCCGGACGGCTGTGCCAGGTACGCGCCTGGCTGCGGCCGCTCGCGTGCGCATGCGCGGCACCACCGCGGAGGGGAGGACGGGTATTAAGTTCAGTGGAAGTTCAGTGTCGGCGGTAGACTAGTACTCAGACTGTCAAGGCGGAGGTGGAGGGGCGCCGGGAAAGGTGCAGGTTACCAACCACCATCCCCTGGTGGAGGGAAGGCTGTGGGACTCCCCTGAGGCCTCGGGACAGAACCTGTTACGGCAAATCAACCTTTATGTTCATTTAGGAGCCTGGGTAACCCTTGAAACCTTTCCCCTTGAGATATTGGCAGAGCAGGCTGTTACGATCGGAAATGCTAGCAGTATTGAAAGCAAAACTGAAACTACGCTATACAAGTGCTTGTTTTGTTGATTGCCGTTGAGTGTGACTCATAGCGGCTCCATAAACAAAAGACCTAATGCCTTTCCATAACTATCGTCATTTCTCCAAGTTCATAGAGTTTATATAGGCATGTGGTGGAGGAAGTGGATGCCACTCCTGCTTCCAAACCTGTTTTACACCTGGGAGTTCCATCAAACACTGTCCAAATTGGGAAACCATTCTGGTATTTGATACCCCAATGGTTTATGGTTCAGCATCACAGCAAACCCAGGTTATTTCATATTGCTCATTGAGAAAGAGTGATGTACAAGGTGGAAGAGCGTCCCTCCAGATATAACAGCACTAGTTTCCTTTAGCAGTAGTTAAGGGTCGATCAGGTCGAATACGACTGAGAGTAAGTTTTGCACAAACCTGAACTTTGTTTATAACTAACAGTATTTCTGTACAGAATACTGTTCTATAAATAACATGTCTGTATGTTTAGAGAGTTTGTAGAGTTTAGAGAGTTTGTAGACTTTCCAGAGCCATCTAGTTTAAGAAGTGGATGCCACTCCTGCTTCCCAGCATAAATCAATCTGGAAGCTGATCCAAACACTGTGCATAATTGGTAACCATTATGGTATTTGACAAGACTATGGAACAGTGTGCAGCATCACAGCGACACCAAATTGTTCAGTTCAGCAGATAGACAAAATTTGCTGTATCATTGAAGGAACATTCATTAAAGCCACGCCTTTGAGCAGACTTCCATCTTAGGCAAAGGCTATACAGGTATCCAGGTAGAGAATACTAATACTGAATAAATGCAGTCAGATCCCATTTCAGTGTGTAAGGGGAGGCAGATTAATGGAGACAATGTTTTAGGGGGATGAAGGTGTTTCTAGGAGGCAAGTTGTTTCAAATAATAATAAACCACAAACGAAGCAACCAGAGATGGCCATTGCCATCAATTTGGTTTCAGACCCTATAGGACAGAGTAGAATTGCTCCACAGTTCCCAAGGCTGTAAATCCTTATGGAAGCAGACTGCATCATCTCTCTCCTGCCCGGGGGCTGACGGGTGGGAATCAATAAGCTGGGTTAATAGCAGAGTACCCCACCGCTGTGCCACCAGCGCACTTTTTAAAAACTTAAGATTGAATGAGTGGGAATGCTGACAGAAGTAAGAGTAAGCTTTATGATACTGGAGTAATAATTACGGTAGAATATTTTAATCTTAAAACGGTAGTTTAAGACATCAACAATTTAAGTGGTAAAGTTACAGAATTTAAGGGGATGAGAAAATAAAAATTAAAAAAAGTTTCAGGAGAAACTAATGGCTTACATGTCTACAGTTTACTCAAGAGAGCCAAGCTTTGGGCCTTTCTTCTACACTCTGAAGAATTTTTTTCCCCTTTCTCATCCTTGGTCGTTATTAAGGCAATTATTAATCTCAGTAATTTTCCTGATGTTACTTCTGCTTTTTTTTTTTTTCAAGGAAAGAACACATGTAAGGAAATAATTTAATGATTTAAAAATCTTAATTACATCTCTCAAGCTAAATATAGAATGTGCTTTTCTAACTTAAAACAATTACTCAGTAGTTTCAGAAAGCTTTGTTAGTGGTGTCATTTTATATTGTGGGTTTTATGGATAAATATTTGTATTACTACTTCTCATGTTCATTTTACTATATTATTAGGAAAAGTTCGAGAATTTGAGGCCAGTAAAATTTTGATCTTCAGCTTCATTTTGTAGCAAAACTTCTGTTTGTCTGATGCTTGCTTTCTTAGAGAAATAGATTGTCCTTAAACTATGACATATGTGCAAATAAAATATACCATTTCTATTGTAAAAGTTATAGTTTTCTCAAATTGAAACTTATTCAGGATTATTAAAGTACTAGTGTAGTTCACGCTGTTTGGCTGGTCACATAAATATTTTAAAAAGAAAAAAACCCCTTACTGTTGTTGGAGTCAGTTCTGGCTCATAGCAACCTTCCATTAGATTTCAAAGACTACATATCTTTCCTGAACTCTGGTAGCCTAGTAGACAGGGAGTTGCACTGCCAACCCAAAAGTGGGTGGTTTGAATCCACCAGCTGCCCAGAGGGATAAAGATGAGTGTTCTCATCCCATGTGATTTACAACCTCTGAAAACCATTGGTTTTATAGAGGCTGTTTGGGTTTTCAGAGGCTGTGAGTTGGTTCTGACTCCCCAGCAATGAGTTTGAAGGCTGTTTATATAGAGATGTGTGCCTCTCTGTGTGTGTGTGTCCCCTTCCTGGAGGAGGCAGCCCTTCTTTCACCCTCAGAGTGACTGATGGCTTCCAATGGCTGACCCTTCAGATAGCATCTCAGTGCTTTAAATACTATGCCACCAGGGCCTCAAAGCCATTGAGTCAACTGTGACTCATAGTAATCCATGAACAACAGATTTAAATCTTGCCCTACCTTGTGCCATCCTCACCATCTCTGATATACTTAATCCTATTATCACAGTAACCTTGTCAATCTGTCTTGTTGGAGGTCTTTCTCTCTTCCATTGAGAATCCACTTTCCAAGCATGGAAAGTCCTTCAGCAAGGACTAGTCCTTTATAACAGCATGCCCAAAGTATGTGAGATGAAGTTTCACCATCCTTCCCTCCAAGGAGCATGCTGATCTCACTTTTCCAAGACAGACTTGTTCTTTTGACAGTGCATTGGATATTCAGCCCATGCGATACTCTGCTCCAACCTCACAGCTCAAAGGCATTGATTCTTCTTAATCCTAAGTCATTGTCCAACTTTCAGATGCATCGCAAGTAATAGAAAAGACCATGGCTTGGATCAGATGCACCTTAACCTTTAAACTGCTATCATAGCCCATATCATATGGAGAGGTTCCTGACAGCAGATTTCCCCAACACCACACATTTTTAAAATTTTTAAAAAATTTCTTTACTGCTGGTACCAAGGGTGTTGGTTGTGGATCCAAGTAAAATGAAATCATTGGCAGTGTCAGTCTTTTCTCCATCTATCATGATGTTGCCTGTTTGCACACTGGTGAGGATTTTTATTTTCTTAATGTTGGGATGCAATTAATATTAAAGGCTGGAGTCTTTGATCTTCTGCAGCAAACATTTCAAGTCCTCTTCACTTTCAAGCAAGTACGGTTGTGTCATCTACATAATGCAGGTTGTTGATAAGTCATTCTACGATCTGATGCCACATTCTTCTTCATAGAGTCCAGCTTCTTGGATGGTTTGTTCAGCACACAGATTGAATAGGTATAGAGAAAGGATACAGCCACCTTTCTTGATTTTAAACCATGCACTGTTTAGACAACAGCCTCTTGGTCTAGGTCTAAGTTTCACATGAGCACAATTAAGTGTTCAGCAATTTTCATTCTTCTAATTGTTAACTCTAATTTGCTATGATCCACACAAATACCTCTGCCTCATTAATATAGCCTTCCTTCTAGTATTCTCTGCTGTAAGCCAAAGTCCTTCTAACATTGGCGGTTAAAGCCCTCCTGTCACACAGCCTGTTCAAAACCCAGCACGAATATCAGGTAGCTCTCTCTTGATGTACTGTTCTAGTTGGTTTTGGATAATCTTCAGCAATATTTTACTTGCATGTGATATTTGTGATATTGTTTGGTAGTTTCTGCTTTCTGTTGGATCACCTTTTTTGGGGAATGGGAACAAACATGGATCTCTTCCAATCAATAGGGCACGTAACTATTCTAGATTTCTTTGCATAGTCTGGTGAATACATTTGGGGCTGTATCTGTTAGTTGAAACATGTCAATTGGTAGTCATTGATTCCTGGGACCTTATTTTTTGCCAATGCCTTCAATGCATCTTTAACTTCTTCCTTTATTACTGTTGGTTCTTGATCATATGCTACTTCCTGAATCTGTTACAGTGACTCTGTATTTCTTCCAAAATTTTCTTTTGATGCTTCCCAGTTCAGGATATCTTTTTAACTGAAGCTCAAAGAGGAGGAGCTGACAGGAAGGAAGAGCTTAAATACAAAATATTGGCTCCATGGAATTGGGTGCAAATTATCTTATTTCTCATATCTATTTATAACATTAAAAAAGAAATCCTGGAACTACATCAGTAACTCAAGTCATTGCTGTGGAGTTGGGACTGACTCCTAGCTGGCCCTCCAGTGGGTTTTTTCACAGGCTGTAAATCTCAAGGACTTGGGAGATTGCCTTTTTCCTGAGGATCAGCTGATGTATTGGAACCACCTGCCTTTGGTCAATCACTAGTCTATAGAAATGAAGACTGATTACTTTAATCCTTGACATTTTCTTAATAGTTTAAGAAAAATAGCAATTGTCTTTTTTGTTATTTTGTATTTTAATTTTGTCCAGGAAAACCTTCAGTTTCTCCCTCTTTTAACACTTCTGTACCACTTGGGCTCTCTACTGGCATAGTCCAGAAGGGAGTTATGCTACCAGTCCAAAGGCCACTTTGGCAATTTGAATCCACCAGTAACTCTGCAAGAGAGGGTGAGCTATAAGCTGGTTCAGACTTGGTGTCAATGAGTGAGCAACCACATCACTTGGATAAAACTCCAGGGGAAAGGACATCACTTTATTCTTTACCGCGCTGTCTGGTTCAGCCCTCCCTCGTGTTTCTGAGGCTGTCATTCTTAACCACCTCATTTTTCTCATGTGGAGTTTCTGGAGGGTTCTAACTGCCAACCTTTTGGTTAGGAGCCCAACATGCAATGTACTACCACCAGGATCCCTTTTATCTTTAAATTGTTATATACCATCAAGTTGGAACCGACTCATTAGTGGCCCTCCAGTGGGTTTTCAGAAACTGTAAATTTCACACAAAGAGACTGCTTCTCATTCTTTTGCAAAGCATCTGGTGGATTTTCAAACAATATGCCTTTGGGTTGGCAGAGCAACTCCTTACCCACTAGGCCATGAGAGCTCTGCCTATAAATTGTTGGTTACCATAGAGTCAGATCCGACCCATAGCTGACCCTCCAGTGGGTTTCAGAGGCAATTAATCGCAAGGGAGGAGATTGCCCAGCTTTCTCCCATGGAACAGCTGATGGCCTTAAATTGTGTGCCTTCAGGATCATAGCGCAGCTTCTTGCCATTAGGCCGCCAGGGCTGAGGGAAGGAAATAGAAGAGTTTAACAATGTATTGTTTGAAAACAAAAATTCTATGTTATTACCTGATTTTATTTTTCTTTTGGAGAGCAGAATAATTTCTTAACAAATGAATCCAGCTAGATTATAAACAGATCAATTTCTTTTCTGCCCTGCACCAGAGCAGAGCATAGAGACAGAGTCACTGTTGAGGCTTTGCAAATGAGTCCACTTTGCTGGGTGCTGAGGGACTTGTCACTGGTTTTGTTGCTGTTACACGCCATTGGATCAGATCAGACTCATAGAGGAGCCTCCAGCAGGTTTTCAGAGACAGTAATCACACAAGAGGAGATTGTTCATCTTTCTCCCACAGAGCAGTTAGTGAATTTGAACTACCTGCCTTTGGGCAGCCTCTTTACCCACTAGGCCACCTGAGCTTTCAGCTGGGGGCTTGGGGAGCTGTATTCACCTAGGGATTTAGGAGCATCAAAATGCTGGAGAAATCCTGAGAGGCATCTCTGTACTATCTGTGTGATCTTTTAAAGAAATAGCATGGTCTTGCAGAACTTTTAAAGTCAGAAAACTCTAATAAAATACCCATCATCTACTCAGACATAACCATGGTTAACATCTAATGATCTGATATCAGCCCTTCCTGCTCATTTGAGACCTTTTCACTTAATTCCGTATACTTAGCTGAGTTTCATTTTTTTCCCTCTACTCCTTCACTTCCACTTAACATGCTTTTCAAGTTTTGAAAGTAAGTATGCTGTGTATTTGGAGAAGTTCTCTGTACCTTTTATGTGTCACCTTTTACTGCGTTGCTCTGATCTGTTCCAAATTAATGTTAATTGATTAATTAACTGACGTAGAGCTTTGAATAAAATGTTGAAATTCTTCCATAAAAAAAAAAAAAAGTGAAAGACTGTTAATAATACTCTACCATGACTGTACCATACTTGTTTTATTGGGCACTTGAGTTGGAGGATAATAGCATTTTCACATTTAATCAGTACTTTAAAAAGATGGAAGGAGTCTCTGGGTGGATGGTACAGATGGTTAAGTGCTGGACTACCAACTGAAGAAGGTTTGGTGGTTCTAGTCCAACACCACCACCAGAGGCACCTTGGAAATCACCCTGGAGATCTACTTCAGAAAGCTCACCTCCTTGAACCCCCTCTGGCAGGTGGATCTACAGTGCACAGTGGGGGATCTTCATAGCTGAAAATTGCCTGGATGGCAGCTAAACAACCAGAAATAAAGTTGATGCATTAAAAGTCCAGAAAAGAAAAGTTTCTTGTGTTTAGCTTCATCTGTTTTTTATGATCTTCTAAATAATGTCCAGGTTCAAGTTTTATTAACTTTTTTCCTTCTAGGTTCTTGAAGGACATGAAGAAGCCAACACCATGGTAGCATTAATGGAGATTTATCAAGAGGAAGATGAAGCATACCAGGAATTAGTTACCACGGCGACCATGTTCTACCAGTATTTACTGCAGCCTTTCAGGAATATGCGAGAAGTTGCAACCTCATGTAAGCTTGACATTGTGGTATGTTTTCTTTATATTTTTATTTTATTAGATTTACTATTTTTTTATGTATTCTTTCTTTAGTCACTTTAAGAGTCAATCCTGTGTTTTCAGTTTGTTTGGTTTTACCCTTATGTTTAGATGGTACTGTGGACATAGTTGAATGGTGATTAATTTTATAAAACACAGTGAGTGGGAATAATTATATGAAACACAGTGTGAGTAGAAGATTGTGTGAAACACAACATATACAAATTTTGTATGTAAGTATAAAAGGAAAATAATTTTAAAAAACCCCAAAACCCTTATTGCCATCAGGTCAAAACTGACTCCTAGCTGACCTGCTAGTTTTCCAGGACTATCATACGGGAGGCAACGGGCCGTCTTTCTCCTTTGGAAATGCTGGTGAATCAAAACCACTAGAGGGGCTCAGCCTTGTGTTTGTAGTGTCACTTTCTGTGGCCCATGCCACCAGAGCAACCTCGATGAGAAGTTGTTGTTGGAAGTGACTCAAAGCTGACCCTCCAGTGGGTTTTCCGAGGCATATAGATACATCAAATCTGTATTTAAAAATTAGTAAGAATGAAGATACTTACATTGGTTATTAATACCTTTGGATTTCTGCAGGTATTAAAGAGTTGTAACTTTTCTTTACTGATGACTTGTATTTGATGTGACACTTATTTACTACAGTTATTTTCTGTCTCTGAAGACATAATCATGTTTCTTTAGAATGTAATAAAAATTTAAATAACAGGGTCTGGTCACTTAGTCATAAGGAACTATGCCGCCAACCTAAAGGATGTGGTTCAAATCCATTAGATGCTCTGTAGGACAAAGACGGGCACTCTCCTTCCTTGTGATTTACTTGCCTTGAAAACTTGCTGGAAGGTCACCTATGGGTTGACCTTAACTTGATGCTACATAACAATAGCACAATTAACACATGCCATTATTACTTATATTTCATTGAACAACCTTATAACACTAGTTAGCATAGAAATTATATTGTGTTTCAAATGAGTCTAAAGCCCAGAGAACTTAAATTATATGCCTAGGTTCTCAACAAAAATCAAAAGATATCTCTTCATTTCTTGCATTTACACTTTGACTCTTGCTAAATTCCTTTCCATGAGTGTCATAGTTAGATGAAACTCAGACCACCCCAGCCTGTGCACAAAGTTGTTCTATTATTTTGTAAATTTAATATTTGCACAGTCTTTCCTTCCAGCACATACTTCTTTCATTTAAGCATCATTGACATGTAGGTCATGATACTAAAAGTGGCGTAGTGGTAAAGAGCAGCACTGCCAACCTGAAGGCACACAATTCAAATCCACCAGCTGCTCCACAAGAGAAAGATGGGCAATCTCCTCCTGTGCAATTTACTACCTCTGAAAACCCACCTGAGGGTCAGTTCTCACTCTGTGTATATAACAACAAGAACTGACAGTGTATTGTACAGCATATAACTGAAAGGTCAGTGGTTTGAAACCAGCAGCTACTCTGTTGGAGAAAGATGGATGGATTATAGTCTTGGAAAAAACAATAGAGAGCTGCTGAGTCAGAACTGATATGACAGCAATGGGTTTGGAATTTTGTAATTAACATACAATCAAGTTATTTGCATAGCTCAAGTCCTGAACATTTTCATCACCCTAGAAAGAAACCCTGTGCTCATTAGCAGTCACTCCTCCTTTCCCCTACCCATCTAGCCTTAGACAACTACCAGTCTACTTTCAGTCTCTATGGATTTGCCTCTTTTGTGCATTTAATATTGATAGAATCATTCAATATGTAGTATTTTGTGACTGGCTGCTTGTATTTAATATAATGTCAAGTTTAATTGATGCTGTAGCATGCAGCAGAACTCCGTTTCTTTTTATTACTGAATAGTATCCTGTTATATGAATTGATTATGTTTTGTTTATCCATTTATTACATGATGGGCATTTGGGTTATTTCTGCTTTTTGGCTACAACATATAGTGCTGCTATCGATATTCTTATACAAATTTTGGTAGGGACATACATTTTTAGTATCTCTTAGCAGTGGGATTACTGAGGCAAAGCAGAAGGGGCATCTACTTCCTACTTCCTAAATAACATGCCTCTGGAAACTATGAACTTTGATAAATGTCGATAGTTGTAGAGGGGCTTCAGGCCTTTTGTTCATAGAGTCACTATGAATTGTGTTTGACTTGAAGACAACAACAACCTGGTAACTCTATGGTTAACGTTTTGATGAACTGCTGACAAATTATTAAAGTACCATTTTGTATTCCTATGTAGTTTAAAATCAGGAAAGGTGTGCATCAGGGCTATATCCTTTCAGTATAATGCGAGAAGTTGGATTATATGATAAATAATATGCTATTAAGATTGGAGAGGAAGACTCGTCAACAAACTGTGATAAGTAGATGACACAATCTTGCTTGCAGAAAATGAAGTGGACTTGAAAGCACTTTTTGATGAAGCTCAAAGTCTTTAATATGGATCATACTTCAACGTAAAGAAAACAAAAATCCTTACAACTAGATTCATTTAATACTTCAGACCAGTAAAGAACTTCATGATAAATGAAATAAAGATTGACGTTGTAAGAAATTTTCTTTCATTTGGATCTACAGTCAATGCCCATGGGAGCAGCAATCAAAAAAGTCAGACGGCTTGATGGGTAGAGGTGGGGTGGGGTTGGGAAGTGGAGGGATCTGGTGTGAGGGGCAATGGATACAAACTTTGTAGGTAAACCAGTGTAAAAGTAAAAAGAAAAAAAGAGTAGATTTTTTTAAAAAAACCACCAAAAAAATGACTAAAAAATAATAAAGAGAAAGAAATCAGTGTGTTGCAGTGATCAAATCTGCTACGAGGATCCACTTTAAATACTAAAAAACAAGGATGTCAGTTTAAAGACTGTGGTACCTCTGATCCAAGGCATGATAGTTTCTGCTGTATCATATGTCTATGAAAACTGGACAATGAAAAGGAAGACTGAAGAGTTGATGCCTTTGAATTATGGTGTTGGCAAAGAATATTGACTATACCATAGACTATACCATATACTATAGTCTAGATCATAGACTGTCGAAAGAATAAATAAATCTGTCTTGTTATAAGTTCAGCTAGAAGGCTCCGTAGAAGTTAGGGTAGACTTTTTCTCAAAATTTTGGTTGTGCAGTCAGGAGAAGCCAGTCCCTAGGGGGACATCATACTTGGAAAAGGAAAGAGTCATCAAGTAAGAGGAAGATCTTCAGCCAGATGAACTGACACAGTGACTCCAGCCATGTGCAGTGCCCAGTTTAGAATCGTATGCAAACTCAGTAAGTGTGTCCTGGATAAATGAAAATGTAATTGACTAAGTGGTATGGGATAGTAGAAAGTTCTGGTTGCCTGGTGATAAGAAATTGCACTAGGACAGGCAGTCTTCTCCTATGCGGTTAACTGCCTCTGAAAACCCACTGGAGGGTAAGTAGTAGTAGTTATAAAAGTAGTTAAAATAGTTCCTGTGACTGATTTCCATTTTCTTTCTTTTTTTTTTATTGTATTATTTTTACGTGTACCGTCAAATCAGATCTGACTGGTACAGGAGGAGACTGCCCCCTCCTTCTCCAGCAGAGCATCTGGTGGATTTGAACTGCGTACCTCTGGGATTGCAGTGTAGCGTCTTGCCACTAGGCCACCAGAGCTCCCTTGATTTCAATTTTCTAATGGCTGCACTTACTTTTACTAATACAATTTCTCTTCTTTCTGTAGAAGTCCTTGGATGAAGATGACCTGGGTCCTAAAAGGGTAGTTGCTTTGCAGAAGGAAGCCCAAGAATGGACCAGACGGGCTGAAGAAGCTGTAGTCTCCATTCAGGATATCACAGTGAATTATTTTAAGGAAACAGTAAAAGCATTGACGGGTAATAAAACACAACGCTATAGTAAGCTACATGTAATTTTTATTTCACTCAGGAAAACTTGAGTTTCTCTTAAGTACCAGGCTCTCTGATTTTTGGGTTCTGTGGATTCATTTTACGTACAATAACTACTGAAGCACAGACAGGCACTATACAGTGTCATAAGGGGAGAGGAATCTTAATTACACATTAATTCAAACAAATGGAAAATGGAGATGATAATGGTAGCAAATGATGGGAAGCAACATGAGGGGCTCAGAGGGCCTATGAGAGAAAAGTTAGACTGATCCAGGTGGTTAGGGAAAGCTTCAGAGAAGTGGCTCTTGCCCCAAATCTGAAGGGTAAATGAAAGTTAAGAGGGCGAAATGTGAGGGAAGAATGTTCTTGGCAGAAGGAATAGCACTGGCGAAGGGCCTCTGGCTTCAGCGAGCTTGGCAAGAATGCACAATTCATGAAAAGCCCATGGGGCTTAAGCTCAGAGAACCCAGAGAGGATGTGGGAGGGAGATTGAGGCAGAATGTGGGCTGGGTAAAGGATTTTGTCTGATCTTCATCAGTGTTGGCAAAAATTAACATCAATCAATTTGTTAAATTATGATACATCATAAAATGGAATACCATGTTACTTCATTTATGCTATTAATGTGTGACTTTCTAAATGTACTTTTGTGTATTACAGGAGTTCCTTGATACGCTCAATGAAATAGACAAACTATGAAATAGAATGATGATTCTGTTTTTAGTCAAACTATGAAAGCCTGTCTTTCTAGCTAGTTAGTTCAATCCACAAGCACATGCGCCAAATACAAGAAGCAATCGCCTTAAGTAGATCATGATTTACTATTTTCTTTTAAAAAAAAACTATCTGAAACTTTTTGTCAATTGACATTATCATTTTAGTATTGATAATAATAAAGTTACGAAAGCAAAAAACAATTTTTAAACAGGGTATTTTTTAGGTAATGTGGGGAGTAGTAAACAGTATTTATGCAGAGTAAGTTTTCCCCTTTACCGAAATGGTTTTTTTCTTTTATTGGTTATCCCATAGGAATGCAGAAACAAATGGAACAGGACGGAAAGCGATTTGGCCAGGCTGCCTGGGCCGCAGCAACTCCCAGGTTAGAAAAACTCAAGCTCATGTTAGCGCGAGAAACTCTTCAACTCCTGAGAGCGAAAGAGCTATGTTTAAACCACAGGAAGGCTGAAATGTGGAGAAAGGTAAGGCAACTATAAGTAGAACTTTATTTTTTAAATTGATCATTGTTTTGGCCTTCAAGTTGGCACCAACTTACAGCTCATACTCCAGTGGGTTTCTGAGGTTGTAAAATCACATGGGAGATTTGCCATCTTTCTTCTGAGACGTTGGTAGTAGATTGAACCACTAGCAAGGCATAGCCTTTGGATTATAGAGCTTCTTAATTGCTGTCGTTCAAGAGGTTCCTTTCATCACATACTCGTGTCATTTTCTAGTAAATAAATAAACCTAAAATCTTCTGTTATTGAGTTGGTTCTGAGTCATAATGATCCTGTAGGATGGGGTGGAAATGCTCTGCAGAATGCCACGTCATTCTCCCAGTTGTGGGTTCAAACTCCCTACTTCCCAGTTAGCAGCTGATGTAAGAAGACTATTGAAGGTTAGCCATAAAGCTTCCCTTTGACCAGATGTGTTTTTTTTTTTATTTTTTCTTTTTTATTTATTTTTTTGGGTTTTTTTTGACCAGATGTTTTTGAGTATTATATTGTAGGATTCACTTTGCAATTTATTGAGCTCAGTATTGTGGGTAATAAGTTTTAAGATGAATAAAGCAGTATTTTTAGAACAACTCTAGATAATCAAAAAGGTGCTTTGTTTTATGATTTCTGGACACATAAATGTTTTCTTTTATCTGTGGCTTTAAAGCAGAAAAATGTATAAATTCCTACTTGCAACTTATTTTTCTTAAGAGCTATATGTTTTCATTTTTCACAGATGAGAAAAATATTTTTAAAGAATGCTGAATAAACTTTCACCTAAAACATAACAAAATATTTTTTTAAAAAAGTAATATTTTCAAAATTTGGAAACAGCTTTCAAAGTTAAACAAAATTAAAAACTAGTACACACACACACACACACACACACACACAAGAATGCTGAATAAGACATTTTTATCTTGCTAGATGAAATGAAAGTATATATATATGCTTTTTATATTCAGGCCTAAGCAAGAAAGAAAAAAAATAGCTAGACTATTTCCAAGTTTTCTTTTAATATACTCATTCTTTTAATTCTTATTTTTTCCATTAAAACAAGATGGAAGATCTTTCTGAACAAGAAAAAAATATAAATGCTGTAGATGAATTAGAAATACAATATTATGAAGTTCAATTAGGACTATATGAAGTTAAGTTTGAGATATTAAAATATGAAGAGATACTGCTTATTACACAGTTGGAATCTGTGAAGAGACTTATAAAAGGTAAAATTTATTTCTTTGTGTATATATTCTGAATTATATGTTTAAGAAAGTACATACAGGTTTCCCTTGTAATTCAAAAGTGTTTTTATTATGTACATCAGTCAGTACCTACTTAGAGCTGACTTTCCAGCAAGTTTTCAGAGGCAGAAGATTCCAGGGGAGAAGCTTGCCCATCTTCTCTGAAGGAGCAGCTGGTGGATTTGAACCACATGCCTTTGGGTTGGCAACACAGCTCCTTAACATTAAGCCAGCAGAGCTTCTTACCAAGTAATACTTAAAACCTTAAATAACAACTATCATGCACTGTACGCAGTTCAGAGCTCTGACGGCTTGATGCTGACAAGACAACAGTAGTTCCCACTACGGAGCCTGAGGATGAAGCTCTCGCTGTTCTGGGTGTGCAGTTCCTCTAAGGGCTTACTGTAAAACAAACCCTGAATGCTAGTTTTGCCTTTCACCCACTTTACCAGAATAAAAAATGCTCTTCAGATTTTTTTGGTTAGTGAAAACAGATAACTGTTTAGTCTTATAAAAGCAAAATGATATAAAGTGCACTTTCAAAAAATGAGGAGACCTGTACAATATTATGAATTCTTGTGAATTGTAACATCAAAGGGAATTTTCAAAATAACTTTTGCTTTGGTATTTTTTATTATTTTGTTAATGTACTCATTCTTAAATAGACACACAAAATATAATTATCACCTTAGTCATCTAGAGAGACTTAACAATTGCTGAATGAATAGCTTTTTAATTTTCTTTGTATGCTGACATATATAAAGAAATATCAGTTTTTAAACCAAAACTATATATCCTGACATTTGAAATATTAATGGCTACATAGTATCCCAGTATTTAGATAGACCAGGATTTCTGGTTTTTCACTGCTATGGACAATCTTTTGCTTTTTCTTGCTTTGGAAGAGTATTTAATTTTTATTAAGTCCTATCTATTGATCTGTGGTATTTGCTTTTTCTGGCAATGTCTTCATCATCTTCAAATTATAAATATTTACTTACATTTTCCTGTAGTAGTTTTATGTTTCTTATTTGTGTAAACCTTTCTGTAATTTGAATGAAAGCTTACTGAGCAAGTTGGTTTTCCATGAAGCAGTTCATGTACATTTTGTTTGGTGATACACACTACATTTTCTGCAATGTAAGCTCATTTTTCTACTTTTTAAAACATGACTTTTTAATCCAGATGAAACTTGTTCTGAGATGTGGGGCAGGGACCTCATTTTTCCCTACTAAATTGTTAGCAGTACCAATCATTAATTTTAAATACCAACCCAATTTCCTTACTGTTTTGACTTTTCCCTGTCTTATATCTGTTTGTGAATTGTTATTTTCTTCCATTGATGTGGCTTCTGATGCCAGCATACTGCACATTTATTACTGTCCTGGAGAAATACATTTCAGCGCTAGTAAGACAAGCACTTCCCTGGTTACTCCACTTTTTCACCAGCTTTCTGACTATTCTCACTCCTTTATTCTTCCAGATGATCTTTAGACTCATTTTGGCAAGTTCAAAACAAACAAAAATAACTTGGAATTTTAATTGGGACTGTGCTTAAGATTAGAGATTAATTTGGGAAGAATTGTCATCTTTGCCATTTTGAATCTTCCCATCCAAGAACATGGTATGTCTCTCCATTTACTTTATTTTCCCCCCAAGTTCCTCCAAGTTTAATAGTTTCATTTACCTAAATCTTGAAAGTAATCTTGGGTATTAAAAAGCATTTTATGAGGTCTGTCCCAGGCTCACATCATTGGAAACACTTCATAGAGCAACTATGTGGTTTTACTCACAGAAAAATGTAATAGTATCTGTGAGAAGAAACTACAGTACAGATAATTTTTGGAAGCAGGAGTGGAATCCACTTCCTAAACAACATGCCTCCCTCTATGAACTTTGATAAACAACGATAGTTAAGAAAGGCTTCAGGCCCTTTGTTCCTAGAGTTGCTATGAGTCATGCTCAAATCGAAGGCAATCAACAACAATGTACTGTCTAGTAGTTAAATTTTTATTTCTTAGAAAAACAAAAATTTCAACATTAATTTCAGATTATAAACATCTTACATGTTTAGGGAAAATGCTATGTTAAAAAGTTACTCTGGAAGAATGAATACCAAATAGTTTATAGTTTTTTCCTTTGAGATTGGGATTCAGAGGGAGAAAATGGTTTGGTTTGTGTGTTGTTGTTTTTTTTTAAATTTCTGTCGTGCTTCTGTTCGAGTATACATGTATTACTTTTTTTTTTTTTCAAATCAAGAAATATTTAATGTCCTTTAGGCACGTTCATATAGAGTTGCCCGTCCAGAGGGCAGTTTGACAATAAATATCAAAGGCCATAAATATTCATTGGCTAGGGAAGTGATAAAATGTAGATTTCTACTCAGAGATGTTCATCACAGTGAAGTTTATAAAACTAAACAATTCTAACAATAGAGAATGAAACAATTCTAACAATAGAGAATGCTTCTATTAGAAATACTATGTAGCCATTAAAATTATCCATTCTCATTTTTGTTATATAGGAAATATTTTCAAAACTATGTATTTATTAACAGGAATGGTTAGGTGACATTTATAACATAAAACAATTCTAACAACAGAAAATGCTTCAATTGGCAAATACTATGTAGCTATTGAAATGTTCATTTTTATTATATAGGAAATATTCTCAAAACTCTATTTACACGATTAGTTATGTCCGTGGTATTTATGTCTATAAATGTTATTACTAGGGGGTTTTCCCAGGGTAGTGTATTTTAAAATGACCTTCACTTTCTTTATATTTAAAAAAATTATTTGCATGATTTCAGTAATAAAGAATACATTTTAAAAGGCTTTGTATTTCTAGAGAAACAGGATGAAGTCATCTATTATGATACATGTGAAAGTCCAGAGGAACTTAAGGTGGTAGATGATGTGGTGGGGCTGTGGAACGATAGGAACTTGGAGGTGAGAGAGCTCCGGAGGAGGTCCCAGCAGCTCGAGGCCAAGCGGGGCCGGATCTGCGCCCGCAGAGCCTACCTCCGGAACAAAAAGGTGGGTGTGCCCAGGGCAACTGTTCCCCCCCCATTATAAGAAATTGATTTTCCAGTAATTTCTTCTTTTATGAAAAATGACTTATTGAAAAGAAGACTTTTATAAACATAGAGATTTTAAAAATGTGTTTCTGTAGATGTCAATGGCTACTTGTTGAATGACTATTACATACATAACTGAAAAACCAGACTCACTGCTATAGACTTGAATTCTGACTCATAATGACCCACCTTGGTGCTTCTGAGGCCTTAAAGTTTTACAGGAAAAAACTGCACATCTTTCTCCTTTGGAGCTGCTGGTGGATTCGAACCTTTGGAGATGCCTCTGACCTGCATCCTTTGGGACTGTACCATCAGAGCTCCCAGCTCTGTAAGGAACTTACAAAGTACAGTCAATCATTTGTTTTTCTAAATAAAGTTTTAGTGAAACAGGCAAAGAAAATGAAATAATAATAATAAGTAAAAACTTTACATCTAAAAATCACCATCGTAAATTCTTAAAATTTATTTCATATTGTTGATTAGAAAATATCAGTTGCAGACATAATACGCAACTTGTTTTAGTTTTTGTATTTATTTAGTAAATGATTTTTTAAAAAAATTTTAAATGATTGCATGAAAATGTAATGTAATCATGAAAAAATTTACTTTTTTTGGTAGAAAAGAAAGCTCCTGTGTTTCATTTTTTCTGGACTTATATACATTTACTCAGGTTGGTTGCACTTTAGTTATAGGAATTAGAAAGAGAATGAAAAATGTAGCTTATGAAAATATGTATTACTCATATGTTGCATACAAATAGAAAACTTTTTTAGTTGTGTTGAGAGACTGTATTCTCTGCAGGTCTCTGCTTAAGTACTATAGCTTTGGGATTTAGGAGCTCTTCTTCAGATGATTCCCATTGCATATGTGCCTGCCCTTTGCTCCTCATTTCAAAATCCCCAGCGGTATTGAGAGAACTTGAGGCAGTGCCTCTGCCTCCTTTGAGGGACAGTGTGGAGAAATGCCTTCTCTTGTACCAATTGAAGTGTTAACCTTGGCTCTCCCGATGGAATCTTGCCACTTGCCCTGTCAGGGACTTCGTTGTACTGAGCTGGGGGCTTGTTGGCATTTGGAAGACAATGGGTTCATAAAATGTAATTGTGGTTAAGCTCCAAAGTCCAACTTGGCTTTAGGTCATAACCTGATCACTTGGTGACCTTAAGCAATTACTTAAATCTCCTTGAACCTTGTTAAAAGAGAATAATAGCTTTTATGAGGGAAAAAAATGGCAAAAGGAATGTAAAGTACTTGGCATTTAGGCTGAGGGCCACAATGTAGTGTTTTATTATTAAAACTCTATACTTTCCACATAAATGAAGGATTATAAAGGGTGGTTAACTATAGGTAAGATACAATTTTAATATAATTTTTCAAGTATCTGTATGTTAGATACGCTTATGTAGATATAGTTGAAAATCTAATTACTATTAATATTTATGACAGGGAAATGTGCTTAAAACAACTACATTAAAACAGATTCTTTGGTCACATCACATTTAAGAATGAAGGACTGTATATCTCCTCATTTCCACCTGGTTGAAAAGTTTAGTTTTCATTTCTCACATCATTAAACCACAGCTGTGATCTCCTTGACTGAGAACAAATTATACTCCTGTAAGCTGCCAGTCAGCCCTCAGCCCTCCTCAACACCATTAAGCACATCGTAAACTCAGAATATTACTGACTGTTTTGCTTGGGAAGCATGTCCAGCTACCAGTGAAAGTCAGCTTCAAGTCCTCGGCTGCTCTGTAGAAGGATGGGCAGTCTCTTCCCGTAATGATTTATAATCTTGGAACGCTGGTGGGAGGACACTGTTGATTCAGTGGCAGTAGAATTATTTGATTGAGTTTTGGTTGGGGAAAATATATGTAGTTGTCTGCTTCCGTAAAGATTTACGTCCTCAGAAGCCCTGGGGGACAGTTCTGCTCTGTCCTGGGGTCACTGTGAGTTATGATGGACTGAGGGGCAGTGGTGAGAGGTGGCACTTCAGAGAAGATGCAGTGCTTTGTCCTTTAAATCTTTAATGTGTGGTCCATGAGGACATTAAAAATCACCTAGGTGATTTGTATCATTCCATAGGATCAATGCAAAGAAAATCATCAGCTCAGATTGCAGCAGGCTGAGGAAAGTATCAAGTATTTTCATCAGCATCATAGTATTCAGATGGTGAGTAATGTCAGGAAAATGTCTGTTTGTATAATGTGACACATTGGCCTTCATTTGTGGGAACTGGTGTTACCCCACCTGGGCCTGGGCCTGCCCTAGCCAGGCCCTGGCACCTGGGGAACAGGCATGGGGGTGCAGTTATGTGGGGTGACAAAGCCTTTCTTTGTCAATACTCTTATTCTGAGACATTTACATGTCTGCGTTTAAATATAGAAAAGAGACAAGATTAAAGAAGAAGAGCAAAAGAAAAAAGAATGGATAAATCAAGAACGCCAGAAAACACTTCAACGATTAAAAGCATTTAAAGAGGTAAGTTCTTGAAATAATAACCTCACTTGCATTTTCTGAAAGTCTTTGTGAGCAGATCATACAGGACACAGAATGTTCCAAGAAGGCCATTATTTGTGGTATATTCACATGTCTACTCTGCTGGCATTTCCCATAGATGTATTTTTCATGTGGTTAAACTGATAGTGTATATTATTTTGAATACTATTATTTTAATGTAATTCTGTATCATCTGTTTAGGGTGTTTCACAAACTTTGTATTAGTTATTATTTTAATGGCTAGTTATGATTTTAATAGTTGGAATACATTTGCCATAATTTTCCCAATAAACTTCCATGTATTAGTATTTAGAATTTCTGATTTTTCATATTGAGCACATTATGATGGGTGTATTCATCCATTTATATTTTATTACAGGGATGGCACTACTTGGTCAAAGGATATAAATGCTTTATTGTTTATTTTGCATATGAAAAACCGATTTAGTGGCAAGGGTGGCTGTACAGAGTGAGGAAGGAGTTATTCTGGGAATTAGAATAGTCTACACATGGGAGCCCTGGTAGCACAGTGGGAGCTCACCAGAATGCTGGTCCTTCTAAGCCACCTGTTACCTCGCAGAATAAAGACGTGTAACCCTGCTTCTGTAAGATGCATAGCCCTGGAGACCCGCCGGGACAAATCTGCTCTCAGAGCGACCTGACAAGTGGTGGGCAGCAGCCTAGACAGAGACTGTTCAACATTCTTTATCTACAGACTTATTTTGAGAAAGTTTCTGCGTTTTGATGGTGTGCATTTGTTCCAAGTTTCTCATGACAGTTTCTCATTTTCAGAAAGGTCAGTCAATACCAAAAACATCTTGCTCAGAACCTGAGGCTCCAAACCTGCCAGATGCCCTTTCTCCAAAATCGTCTTTGCCATCTTCTCAGACCATGTCAGTGACGCATCAGCCACCCAGGAAAGCCAGGACTCCTCTACCTAAAGTTAATCATGGGAAAAGCCCCGGGGGTCAAGACAACCTTGGAAACGTGCCTGTCCAGATTTTTATTCCAGTTGGCAACCACACACAGTCCAAATCTAAAGAGGAGTTATCACCACCATCCCCACCACCCCCTCCACCTGCATCCCCACTCCCACCTTCTCAGTCAGCACTTCATCAGAATCTGCACCTCAGGACTTCAGTGAAAGATGACTAGCCACATTCTCTGGTCTGTGATTCACTTTGTGAGAGACCACCTGAGCTCTCTCTAAATTTTAAATGCCAAGGGTCTATGGATGACGTGCTGGGGCAGGAGCCCTCTCAAGAAAGTGGATGTGTTTGCCTCACCCTAGTCCTGCACCTCCATCAACTAGCACATCCTGGCCGCCACTCGACAGGGAGTCAAGCTGAAGAAAGTCCACCCAGACTGTGGCCCGAGCCCCAGCAACAAACCGCCCAGTGACCTTGAGAGGA